GGCGCCTGGGAAGGGCATGTATAGATAGATGGGTGTACGGCGCTAGCCAAGTAAAGCCGACGGTGCGACGGCGAACGCTCTTTGAAAATTAACCAGAAGTGAGAAGTGAGATCAAGGCAGGCGGGATCCCCTCATGGCAGATAGATGGACAGATATGGTTGCCCGCCCGCCCGCCCGCAGATGCCGCATGGGGGCGGGGCGGGGGGGCGGTGGGCAGGTGTGCGGGCGCAGAAAGATAATGCTCAACGCGAATCGTACTCCGCAGATTTGTTGGCCCGGTGAGGGTGGGTGGGTATAGAAAACAATGCCGCCGACCAATGCCAAAACGTATTCCCCAATTTTATGGTTCTCGGATTTTATGGAAAAAGCAATGCTTCCCTGCGAGGCGCGCCCGCTGTAGGGTGGGCGGGTACACAAACATCAAATGGATTTTCCCCGAGAATTCGCCGGGGGGGGGACGTAATGCCACATGGCCCCCTTAAGATAAAACAGAACGCTGTCTTCCCCGCCGCTCTTCTTTCTCTCACTTCCCTCCACCCTCCCAACCAGACTTTCCGTTCCCTTCATAAATACTCGCCGTATCGTCCGTATGCGCACGATGGTTCACAAATTTGTACGTTCGTGAAGCTCTGTGAGGCAGCGGCTCAGAAACAAATGGGACGATCAAGAGCTGCAAGAAGTTCTGCACAGGGCAGAGGCCCAAAGGGCATGGACTGCAGCCTTCGGAAAGGGCGTCCTCCGGAGTCATCATGCACACCCTGCTTACGCGCGCGGCTGGGCGGGCGGCAGACGCTGGCCATCGCTGGTCACATCTGCTGGCACCCAAACAGGGTCTCATCCTGTTCCGACAAGCGAAGCCCACTTCGCATAGCCCAGTTCGTTCTAGCATCGCGTGCGACTGCGTCGAAATGCAGAACCGCCTTGTAGAGAAAACTGGCAAGGAAGTTCGCACTGATGGCAGGCAAAACCTGGTTCAGAATGACTCTGGCCAACGTAAAACGGGAGAGATGCCACGTGTGAAGCGACATGACATATGACTCTGCACTACCGACTCAATTGCTTGGACGAGCGCTCACACTCTGAAATAACTCCGCCGATCCAGTGTGTGAGTTTCAAATGGCCTGAGCTACAGCCTACAGCCTGAGCTTCAGCTCTGCTGGGGTGGAGGCCGGGGTGGCCCTGCCGGGGAAGGGGGGGGGGGCGTGCGCCTGTGTCCGTTTTCTGGGCGGGGCTGAGACAAGTAAAAATCCGCCAAATTCCCACACCGGGGGCCAGGGAGCCCAAGATGGCCGCCAGATATTTCCGGGACGGCTCAAGATGCATTCAAGATAGCCTGGGATGCCCTCCAAAAAAAGCCCGAAAAGGCCCAAATCATGGATTTCTACATGCTTTTGAAGGATTTGGGCGCTTCATTCCCTACCTAGGCTCTGCCTAGAAGGGTTCTTACTCTGTTAGCCAAAGGGGCTGGGCAATGGAAACCGCCCCGGGCGGTTCCCCCAGTCCCCGCCCCGCGGTTCCCCCAGTCCCCTGGGAGCTTTAGCCTTAGCTTTAGCTTTAGCTTTAGCTTAGCTTTAGCTTTAGCTTTAGTTTTAGCTTTAGCTTAGCTTTCGCTTAGCTTTAGCTTAGTGTTAGTTTAGCTTTAGCTTAGCTTTAGCTTAGCTTTAGTTTAGCTTCAGCTTAGTGTTAGCTTAGCTTTAGTTTAGCTTTAGTTTAGCCTTAGCTTAGCTTCAGCTTAGTGGTAGCTTAGCTTTAGCTTAGTGTTAGATTAGATTTAGCTTAGCTTTAGCTTAGCTTTAGCTTAGCTTTAGCTTAGCTTTAGCTTAGCTTTAGCTTAGCTTGAGCTTAGACTTAGCTTAGTGTTAGCTTAGATTTAGATTAGATTTAGCTTAGCTTTAGCTTAGCTTTAGCTTAGTTTTAGCTTAGATTTAGCTTAGTGTTAGCTTAGCCTTAGCTTAGTTTCAGCTTAGCTTCAGCTTAGCTTTAGCTTAGCTTTAGCTTTAGCTTTAGCTCAGCCTTAGCTTAGCTTTAGCTTAGCTTTAGCTTAGCTTCAGCTTAGCTTTAGTTTAGCTTTAGCTTAGTGTTAGCTTAGCCTTAGTTTAGCTTTAGCTTAGCTTTAGCTTAGCCTCAGCTTAGTGTTAGCTTAGCTTTAGCTTAGTGTTAGCTTAGCTTTAGCTTAGCTTTAGCTTAGCTTCAGCTTAGCTTCAGCTTAGCTTCAGCTTAGCTTCAGCTTAGCTTTAGCTTAGCTTTAGCTTAGCTTTAGCTTAGCTTTAGCTTTAGCTTAGCTTTAGCTTAGCTTTAGCTTAGCTTTAGCTTAGCTTTAGCTTAGCTCCAGTTTAGCTTTAGCTTAGCTTTAGCTTAGTGGTAGCGTTAGCTTAGCTTTAGCTTAGCTTCAGCTTAGCTTTAGCTTAGCTTTACTGTTACTACTAATGCTGCTTTCCTAGGGGCTCCAACTCCTAGGTAGGGTCGCACTGGGATAATTATTGTGGCCTTCCGACGGCCCCAGGGGCCCCCATGATCACCCCAAAGGCTTCCAAGATGGCCATATGACGGCCCAAGAGGTTCCTAAGACGGCCCCAAGAGGGTCCCAAGACAGCCCCATAGGCCCCTAAGACGACCAAGATAGCCTCAAAGACGGCCCTGAAGCGCCCCCAGAGTACTCCCAGACGGCACCGCGAGGCGCCTAAGACTGCTTCCGACGGCGTCCGACGAGACAGGAACGCCCTAAGACAGCCAAAAGGGTTTCCAAGAAGCCCCCAAGAGGCTCAAAGACCCTCTCAAGAGGCCTCCTCCAACGACTGCCCCATGAGGGCCCTAAGACAGCCCCATGGGCCTCCAAGCGAACCCGAGCACCATCGGGAGCGCCCCAGACCGGCGGCACTGGCAGGAGGCCACAATATGCAGCACTGCGGTCAAGGGACCAGCCGCGCTTCAAAGCAGGATTGAAGCCATCCCACATGATTTTCCCCGTCCAGGAGACTGAAATGGACACCAGCCAACTCTCCTGTCCTCCTGCTCCTAACCACGCTCTGGCACGCGGAGTCCTAGAAGATGGCGCGTGCCGTCTAAGAACATATCCCCAGGACGCCAGCGTGGATTCCAGGCCATGCTGCCGCAGCGCCGCCTGCATCCTGGTCTGCGTAGAATGATTCAACTGCTGAATATCTTCCCTCACGCCCTAATCTGCAGCGTACTTTGCCTCTGACTCCCCTCTGTACGAATAAGTGCCTCGAGAGCGTGGTCATGCGCGCGCCCTTAGCGCTCTGGACCTCCCCACGCCCAACAAGCACGTCCAAGAAGTCCGCGCGGAGCGGCGAAAGGTTCTGATTGTGTCGTTTCGTCTTCTGGGGGAATATACATGAGTGCCCGCGGTGTTCGATCGATGTTGTTGTGGCTCATTTTCCACTCCCCTTGAAACCTAGGCCCCACGGCCGGCCGCGGGGACGCCACGGCACTCGCTGGCGTCGAGGTCCGCAGCATCGCCATGAGGCTGGCTGGTGTCAAAAATATGCTACGCATTGCCGCGTCGTGCCGTCCGCGCAGTGTACGGCGAAGCCAGGACGATAATAACATCGGGTGAGGACACGTCGGGAATCTATGAGATCCAGCGTATCTGGAGGATGTCTCGGGCGACGCCACCTTCTAAGAGCGCTCTGGGACGCTCTGAGGGCATTCCCGAACGCTCTGGCACGGATTTCCCTTCATCCTAGCCCCGTCCGACAGAGGCGAGCTGTCGTGCCATTCGTAAGACACCCCTTCGGCCCGCGGGCATCGGCGCGGCTGGCACCTGTCAACATCGGGAGGGGCGACCTGGCAACGAATTGCGGCAAGGGAGGACGGACGAGGAAGGTCGAGGGCGCACGGGGAGCGGAGACCGCACTCGCCACTCGTGAGACGCACGGCGTCCTGTGGACTCCGTCTGGCCAGTGTCCTCTGCGCGCTGCCTTGCTCAATGATTCCGTTGCCGCTGCAGGGTGCCTGGCTCTACTCCGGATATCGAGAGGGTCGGATGTCACGGCGCACATCATGATGCATTGCCTGCGCCTCCACTACTGTTCTTCATCTTTCGGGACCGTTCGTCCCGCGGTCAGCCCTGGGTCGCGAGCTACTCACAATTCGCTCTCGGATCTTCCCACATCCTTGTGCTCCAAATCTTTAGTCGAAACGGTTCAAGCACTGCGTATGGGCCGTCTCGCAAGTGCCATGCCGCGCGTACAATGCAAAATGCGCCGTGGCACACGTGTTGTGCCGCGCGTGCCGCGCCATGCGCTTTTCTGGCACATGCCATACAACACGATCTGCTACGCGGACGCCCAGCTTCACCTTCGTAAACGACCTGGCAGACGTGACAATAAGCCGCCGCAGAAATCACACTGGGCCCTCGACGACGCATGCGCATACTTCATCACTGCAAGCGCTGTGTGAGACAAGCCCAAGCATCATACCCACAACACAAGCGAACACATCCGAAGTTCTGTCTGCAAGCGGCAGGCACCCTTTCCGACCCCGACCCACACTGGAAGCGGCTGGGGGGTCTGAACTGGCTGGGACCCCAGAACATCGGGCAGGAGGGGGGAACGAGGCCGAATCCGCCCAAAAACTGCCCACCAGACCGCCGTCTGGGCGTGAATCTGCTGCAATTCTTCACCCTCTCCCAGGGGCCGAGAACGGCCCCCGGAACCCGAGAGGGTACAAAACGGTTGCCGAGCCCAGAATCTCGAGCCTCCCCGCCCTTCCTGCTGGCTGGAACCAGTACACGCCGGTCGGAAGAAGTAGATAAAAACATGAAGTAGGAAGGCGGACAAAGCGGATTGGGTCCAGGCCCCCCAGGGAACAACAAAACATAGCAAAAGCGTGCCGATTCTTGCTTGAAGTAGGAAGGCGCTTGAAGTAGAGTGGGATCTGGGAATCAAAGAATACCTACTTTCAACGACCGGCGTGTACTGGCCCGCCTCAGACTCCCAGAGTGCTCCAAGACCCACAGTCAGCATTAAGGCGGCGACTGCAACCAGTCGTTGGCATTGAACTTCAATATAGGCGCATCGCCTGAGCATCTGCACAAAGCGCGTGCTGCGGGGGTCCACGCGGCGCCGCGCGCAGAGGCCAGAATAAGTCAGCTGGCTGAGCGCTCAAGGCGCAACCGAGAAGCCCAGGGCGGAAGTCCCCCCCTCTGGGCGCACGGCGCGTTTGCGTCTTTGCTCCCGAGATGCTCTAAAGTGAACGACAGCGATGCCCCGCGCGCAGATGGTCTGCTCTTGCTGTCAGATGCAGTGCCGAAGGCTCATGGTCGCAGTCGACATCAAGGCTGGGCTGTGCGCTGATTCCACAGACTGTCCAGGCCGAGCCCAACATTCACACAGAGAGCACGCTATTTACCCACCAACTGCTCCCAAGTTACCTCGGCCCCCTCCGAGCAGCGAAAAAAGGCCGCAGGCTGGTCGTGTGATCTTGAACGGGGGTCGCCTGTCTTTTCATGGGATCTTGAGAGAGGTTCCTCTGGGTAAAATAATGATATATCTCTCTTTCTTTCTCTCTCTCTCTCTTTATCTCTGTACCTCTCTTTTCGCGTCTCCTCATCTCTCTCTCTTTCTCTCGCTCTCCCTCTCCTTCTGGATCGAACGTCCACGAAACTTTCCCTTTGCCGACGCGCTACACTTTCACAAACCGACGGGCTAACAACTATGAGACCTGCCCATGGACTTGCCACACGCAAATCCATTTGAGAAGCAATGCCCGGGAGGTGGAATTGAGCCCCTGCATGCATTCAGGCTGGACCAACTCCAAACACGCGCTTTTGCTCCCCCACCGTGCCCCATGGTACGATCGCGCGTGCTAAGTAAAATGCCACGTGCTGTCCTGTAAGGTGGCTGGAATCTTCTGAAGGACCCCCACCCTCTCGCCCTCTCGAGAAGAGCCGTGCTGCATGTATCGCCCCCTCTTCCTGAGGCCAGAACCCTCGCAAGATACGACAGATGGATAATTCTACACAGCGTTGCGAGTGAACGAAGAGGCGGTCCTGGAAAACATGTGGTCCGTTGCGCTGCTCACCCCAAGCGGCCCCAAATGCAAATTTGGAAGATGTCAATCCGCCTCAACAAAACAAAACGGGGCGGCATACTATGGTACCCGTGGCCGTGCTCACCCTAGGCGACCCCAGCTGCGTATTTGGAACACTCCGCCGCGTGCAAAAAGAAACAAGTGTCAAGTAAAAACCATTGGTGTTCGTCCGGCTCACCCATGGGACATCGAACGCGCATTTCGCATATTTCAATTGATGTCTCGCAGGTCCGTGCCAGAATCGGCGAGTTTTGTTCCTGCCATCTTGCCTCTTCCCCTTGTCTCAGGTCCAGCTGAGAACTCGTGCCAGGTAGTTCAGGTCTTTGTTGCCAAGATCCGTTGAGCTCCTCAAGAAGAGTTGCTATTTACGTTCCTCCTCCTCCTCCTCCTACTGCTGCGCTCGTGCTGAGACGCCGTGACTCGCCACGTCCTGACGGCGACGCCAGCGCCGCGCGCCCGCGGCCTGCCCAGAGGTGGAGCGAGGGCAGCCTCCTCCTCCTCCTCCTCCTCCTCCTCCTCCTCCTCCCTGGTGCGTGGAGCGCGAGGGGCGGTGCCGGAGACGCCGCCGGGGGGGGGGCCCAGCGCAGATCCATGAAATCCGCGCGCGGAGCTCGGAAAACTGATGTATATGCCGATGTTTTCTTCTTCGATCCTCCTCCTCCGATTCCTCCTCCTGCTCCTCCTCCTCCTCCTCCTCCTCCTCCCTACGTCCCGGTCGACCGGCGCAATTCTAAGCTCAATTACGGACCCCGAGCATGTTGCACGCTGCGCTGCGCTGCGCTGCTCAATCTTCCGGCCCCCAGCGCAATGCCGGGAAAGAGGACCCGCGCCGCCTTCCTAATTATGGGCTGTCCTTGTGATTCCAAAAGGCTTGCTGGTCTTCTCACCCATTCCCCGCTCTCCCATTGCTGTTCTCTCTGTCTATATGTATCTCTGCCGCCGCCGTTTCTTCTCGACTAGGGTCCTTGGCCTTAGAGCTACGCACCTCGCCGCGCGAGTAAAGAAGATCCAGCGATTATCTTCCATATCACAATGGTAGCTTGGAGCGAGGCTCGCTATCCCGGCCCGCGGGGCCGTCCATATCAGCAACGACGGCGTCTGCGACCCGTCGATTCATATTGGAATCGAGGACCAGCGTCTTCCTGGTGATCATCACCCAGCTGCTGCGCAGCACGCCCAGCGTCAGCGACGCCGGCGCCTACTTCTCCCACGCCAGCGTCAGCAACGCCAGCATCTTCGCCTACCCTGCCAACTCCAACGCCAGCGTCAGCGACGCCAGCACCTACGCCTCCAACGTCTACTTCTCCAACGCCAGCGTCAGCGACGCCAGCGACTATAACTCCAACGTCTACTTCTCCAACGCCAGCGTCAGCGACGCCAGCGACTACAACTTCAACGCCTACTTCTCCAACGCCAGCGTCAGCAACGCCAGCTGCTACGCCTACCCTGACTTCTCCAATGCCAGCGTCAGCGACGCCAGCTACTACGCCTACCCTGACCTCTCCTACGCCAGTGTCAGCGACGCTAGCGACTACGCTTTCAACGCCAGCTACTTTTCCTACGCCAGTGTCAGCGACGCTAACTACTTCTCCCACGCCAGTGTCAGCGACGCTAGCTACTTCTCCTATGACGGTGTCAGCGACGCCAGCTACTTCTCCTTCAACGCCAGTGTCAGCGACGCGGCCTACTACTTCATCATCGACGAGATGACAGACAACTGCGCGTACAGCGCTATTCCCACCTGGAATGGCGACCCATCAAAGTGGAGAGACTACAAGCAGGAAGTTAAGCTCTGGAAGCTCAGCGAGAACCGCGCCGTGGCGCATAGCCTCGCATCGAAGCTCGCGCTGAAGCTCAGCGGGACTGCCCCGGGGTGCAGCACTCAACATGGCGGAGGCGCAGCTGCATCCTGCAGCCGCGGCGGACATTGAAGACCCCGACGACAAGAAGCACAACAGAAACCAGGTCGGCACTGAGAATGTGCTACAGCACCTGGAGGCGGGCCTGGGTCAGCAGAAGCCCGTGCAGAAGGGCGAGCCCCTCGAGAAGTTTTTCGAGTCGGCTCAACATCACCGACGCAGAGGTGAACGCACGACGGATTGGCTCATCCGTTTCGAGACCGGACTGCAGCAGCTCCGCGAGAACGAGGTGGACCTCAACGCGCTGGACGACGTGGCGGGATGGTTCCTGCTGCGCAAGGCCGGGCTCACGGCCGAACGCCGCGAGCGTGTCGTGGGCAACTTGCCCGACGAGCACTACGGCTGCCAGCGCGTCCGCCAGCTGCTGGTCAGGACGTTCCCGGACATCCGTGCGTCGGAGCGCCGCGCTCCCCCGCCGAGGTCATGGAACAACCAGTCGCGCTCGCAAGGCGGCTGGCGCAGCAACGTTTCCCCCAGCCGCGGGGGGCTCTCCACCAACGTCGTCGACGAGCCGGACGACGAGAACGACGAAGAGCCAGAGGAGGACGACGAGGACGAGGCCGACGTCCAGGACATCGTTCGCCAGGAGCTCGAGGCTTTCAGCGCCGAGCTCGAGTCCTCCAACGTGGATATCTCCGAGCTGTTCGACGGCGACGACTCCGCCAAGGTCGAAGCTGCCGCAGCGGAACTTGCCGCTATTTCCGAGGCCATGGCCACCATCAGATCGGCCCGGGAAGCCCTCAAGGGCCGCGGCAAGGCGAAGTCCGCACCGCCCCGTCGCCCGACCAAGCTCCAGAGCAGGGTCGACCAGCGCAAGAGGAACTCTTCTTGCTGGGGCTGCGGCGAGACCGGACACTGGACAGGGGACAAAGAGTGCCCCGCGCCAGGCGCTCGCAAGTTCGCGCCCCAGGACGGCAAGTCCAAGGGCGGTGGACGAGGAGGTCGTGGAGGCCGTCCTCAGCGCCAGGCTCACATCACCGAACAGGTCCAGTTCGCGGACGAGGAGATTGCCCTGCGCCCGCAGGAACCAGTCACGCCGCCCCCAGAGGCTTGCGTCTCGGAGCGGCTCATTTACCACCTGCCGAACGTGAACGTTGCGATCGGCAGCGACAAGCCCGCGGACGAAGGTGTTGGCGTGGTCGACACCGCTTGCCCTTTCTGCGTCTCGGGCAAAGAGTGGTGCGACAACTACAAGGACATCCTCACGAGGATGGGGCTCGCCGACCAGATCCTCGAGGAGCCGGGGGACGAGCTCTACAGGTTCGGCAAGGGAGGTACTCTCCCAAGCACGCTGCGCGTCACCGCGCCGCTTGTGCCGTGCGGCCAGGCTGGCCGCATCGTGTTCAGCGTCGTGGACAGCCCCACGCTGGGCCTGCTCAAAGGCCGCGACTTCATCCAGCCTTCCAAGATCGACATTTCTCTCTGGAAAGGCCAGATCCGCATCGGGAACGCCACCCAGAAGCTCACCACGAGCGCCGCGGGCCACCCCGCCATCAAGTTGCAGCCAGAGGACTGGCAGGCCATCAAGGACGCCGGCATGGAGCAAACGCCCAGTGCGGCCAGCTCGTCCGGAAGAAAGAGACAGCTGGACAAGACCCTATACGTGGAGGTCGAGACCGCGCTCGACCGACGGGATCGGAAGGCGAGGACGGGCGACCAGCCGACGGTCAACAACACTACCAGGACCAGCAAGCTGATCGACACCATCAACAACCGCGTCACGAAGAAGGAGCTGAACGTTCCGAGGCGCCTCCAGACACGCCGACCGAAGGGGTCGCGGCTGCTTTCGGCAGTAGCCTCAGCCCTGGTCTGCTGCTCCACTGTAGCTCCAGCTCCGAACCTCACGCTAGCGACGCTGCCGCAGACGACCTATCCCACGACGTGCGTGACCGAGCCCCTGCAGGACTGCATCGCCTGTGGCGAGACGACCTTCGAGGCCTGCAGCCACCGAGGTTTCTGCTCGGACTGCGTCTTCGGCACGCCCGTGGCCCTGAGTCACGGCCAGGGCGCCATCGCCAACGGCTGCCTCGGACCCGAGGCTGACATCGTGGAGGAGGAGCAGCTACGCGT